CCATTTTGATTCCATGGCTTTGCACTTTCCAGTACCGTCCATGAACAGGCTCAATCAAACCGAGCCTGCAACATTTTCAATTTTGTCGTGTTGGGCTTTCTTTAGGGATTCTGTATTTATTGCTCCGCGCCCACAGTCCATGGGCCCGGATTTGGTCAATAAATCCTTTCGATTTACAGCTAAAACAATGTAAAAGTACATCCGCATGCAAGAACTCCTTTCGATTTCTATATTGGTTTCCCCGTCGGTGATTCGCAGCATGTCATATTAATAAATGAGAACCGGAAAGCAGTTCTGCTGTACATGAATTTGAAAGCTATAAATAGCTATAAATGTTCTGATTTTTGACATTTGTGTTATAAATTTGTTATTTCCCTTTTTTAGTAGTACATGAAATTTAATTTGTTACATTTTGAATTACATTTACACACAGCATATCAAGTATACTATTAGTGATTGAATTTGTCAATATAAAGAAGATTTCAGGCAAAAGACCTTAAAAATTTTGCTTTTAATAATTATCTTTAATTTATATTTATGAAATTAAATGTTAATAATAACATGTTGATATATTGGTTGTTTTGAAATAATTAAACTTTAGTATGACAATGACAATGACAAAGAGTTTATTGATTCAAGGCCTCTAGCCCAAAACAACATAAACATAGCAATACAATTTCATACAATGGGATATAGTACATTATATCATTATGTTAAACAAAATCTTCTTACTATTTAGTGGTGTTTATCATATTTATTCATGTTCTAACTACATAATAATCGTTTTCTTTCTTCAAAGGCATGGAACACAAAACTTTGCCAAAATTTTCTATAATATTTTCAGCCTGACAACTCATTAAGATATTAAATTTATGAATATAGGATTAACAAAAATATTTGCTTGGTAAGTATTTTTGATCTTAAATTTTCATAAGCCGTACATACCATTACAAAATGATATTCTGTTTCTTCTGAAACTTTACATAAATTACATATACGCTCAGATCTCTCTTCTTGTCTATATCTACCTCTTTCAATATTTAAATCATGCGATGAAGTACGTAATTTTGCAAGTGCATTTCTAAATTTACGAATTAAAACAACAGATAAATATGTCTCATGGATAAATTCAGATTTATACAAACAATATGAATCTAACTTTTTACTTTGATTTATTTTTTCTTGCCAGTTCTGCCTATATTGATCTCTCATTCTATCTGTAAATATTTTTAGGAACAATTTCTTATCATCAACTCCCTGGTTATTCCAAACATATCCAAAACCATTTGTATATAGTAGTTGTTTAATGTTAGTAGCCCAATTTTTCATTCCATTCCTATCATATATAAGTAACATATTATAACATTGTTTCACATATCGATCATTTGGTAAACTTAATATCTTTAACCAATATACTAAAACTCTTGATGCAGTAGTTATGTACAATGGAAAACGGCCACAATCTCCTAAAACTGATGTATATAACGTTTTATTTCATAAGCGTCATTGGTACAGCTTACCACTTCGTAAAAAAAAAAAAAAATAATAAGGGTATGACTCGGTGATATGTTCGGGGGTCCGTACTCGACAGCGAAAGCTGCATTTTGTGGACTCACGAGCGGATGGACCCTCATTGAGCATAGGCTATAGATAGATATCATAATAACAACAGAAACTCTGATCTGCAGTTTGAACATGAAGTGTAATGTTTTTTATGAATGGTTTTAAAGCAATTCAACAAAAAATATATATTGATCTTCCAATAAATGAATTAACAATAGTTTTTTTAATATATTACCAATGTCAAATAGCTTTTATATTCTTTGTCTCGCACGAACATGATGTTAGTGAATTTCCTCATACCTACCTAAAATTCAGGTAACAGTCTTCTATTATATTGATAAATACTGTATCACCATGTAACGCGTGTATAACAAACAAACAAAAAATCCTGAATATGTTCTTTTTGAAATTCATCCCATTTTTTCATTCCAGAGTGTGACAGTGAGTACTTTTGTTATGGTCATTGGGTTTACTTTTATATGTTTCTACATGATCATTTTAGTGTTTTACTTATTTAACCTTTTGTAACCATGACAACTGTTAGAATTTCACTTGGCGGGGATTCATTTTATTTACACTGTCTCGTTTATAGGAACATGGTGGGGCTAAGAGCGAGGTTTGGTGCACCATTAACCGGTTTAAACTCCCCAGCAGTCATTATTATGCTGCTGACCGTTCCAAGGCGGCGCCCCACTGTGTTTCCTCAGATGTATGTCTATGTTGTTTCATACTGTTTTTGGTGACACTATGCTTTGTGTCCCTTGTTGTTTTCTCGTCTACGGTAAGTATCTTCCCCATTGCCTCTAGTTTTTATTTCTTTGATTAACCCCCCCCCGTTCCCGTTCCCCGGCCTCCTGTCCCCCTTCCCCTTTGTGGGCCTATTATTATATTCTTTGAATTCCTAATCGGTTAAAATTATTTATCATTTAATGATTAACGTGTTTTTGCCCTGTCCTTTTTATGTTTGGGGTCCGCCTGGGCTCCTTGCCATTGGTTCTTGTTGCTTGGTCATATGGGGGTTGCGTTCATTGAACGCCGCCTTTCCTTGTTGATCTTGTGTATCATATTTTCTACTTTCAGTATTGAAAGAAACCACTTTTTTTAATTTGACATGAAAAAAATGCATGTAATATTACTATGTTATAATATTAGTCCCTTTTGATACTATTTGTATATTTGTTACAATTATAATAATAAAAAAACAGGCTTTGATATTTTATAATCTTATGTTACTGACTACAGTTGTGACACAAACAGAACACAGTACAGTCGATTTTTTAAAACGTTTTTATACGCGCATAAGGGCTCCGATTTACAATTCTCAATTTCTAAGCATTTTTTTTTTATTTTTCGATTAGCGATGGTTACCTTATTTTTATTATTTTGTTTAAATACATTTTAATTTAACTATTTGATTTTAGTCTAACTGTAATAGGTCTTGAATATGTTTATCATTGATATAATGTCTCTTGAAATTCTTAAATAGAATGGTCGTATGCAGATTTTATGTGAATATTTGTAAATATGTATAAAAATGTATGTATACGAATGAGACAAAAATAAAGTATGAATATATATGTCACATAACATTTACAAGTCTTGTAAGTCTTGTTTGTATTCAATGGAATTACTTTCCTTACCAGGTAGGCATCAGTGAAAGCATTTTTTATATTAAATATCTTTCCCCTCTTTTTAATTATGGACAGTGCATAAGATAAGTATAATTATGCAAAAAATGGTTTACGAAACATTCGGAAAAATCTACAATAGTATTTAATCTGAATATAACATGACCTGTGCGTAGGAATAATTTGGTAAGGTATCTGTAATGAGCACATTGTTTTGCGCGGAGCTTCTCAATTGCTGCATTGCAGCAACATTTGTACTTGTCTATTTTATGACTTAAAAAAATTAGATGACGCATCAGACAAAATATCTAAGCCCTAGGCCTTGCACTTGAAGTATTTTAAAGATTTCATTAAAAAAAACTGGAAACAAAGTGATCCCTCGAAAGCATTAATCACAACAAAATCACATGAAATAGCAGACTCTGTTTGATTGAGTATGTACATGAATGATAATGAATACGTGCAACATCCCTCATGCACCCTAAATTAGCCTACCTGACCCAGATGTTCAATTGAGCAGAACGTTTTGAACAATTTAAGAAGAACTTCATGTTAGGAACATATCAGAAAATTTCATCAATTTAATATGGTCCAGTGGTTTCTGAGTAGAAGTCGTTTGTATAAAAAGTTGGCAAATGATGCCGGACGAACACTTGTGCTAAGGTTAGCTAAACGGGTGTTAACTGCCAATAAACACTAGATAGGGACACATGCATATACAGCTGTTATGTTTTTCCCTAATTATTAAAAACGTCTGCCTTGAAATAACAATCTTCTAAAGATTGCCAATATATCAAGCAAGACTTTCCTTAAAGATCGTTCAGCACGACATGATTGTTGTGCTTGTGGTATTTTTTTAGTTTTAAATTTTGGCATTTTCTAGTTGGGTGGTTCCAATATTCCTACTTGAATATTGTTGAATCACCCTTAGGATATGTTGCCTGCTTTCTAACTATGTATTTTGACGTCTTATCTGTGATATGCAGGCTTCATAACCTCTGATACCCTTTTAAAATTCCATTTTATTTAGTTCCGCCCATTGTTTTCTCGTTTAGGGCACATGCTTTTTATTATTGGGGACCATACGCCGCTTTTCATGGAATGGCACGGAAGTGTCACATTGAAGGTTCCATGATGACCGTCGTATGAACATATCTACGGATGTTTCCAAATTCAAAATTTTACCATTTCATGTTTAAATGTTGAATTCTGCTTAAGCCGGTGATAGGGGGCGTTGGTGGTAGTTTGCACTTTACAGTACCGTCCATGAACAGGCTAATTAAAATCAAACCGAGCCTGCAAAATTTTCAATTATGTCGTTTTGGGCTTTCTTTAGGGATTCTTATTTTCTCTATCGTTTATATTTTTAACTATGAATTGTAACAATGATATATGTATTCAAACATGTATTGTTGGTAACATTAGTAAATGCGCGTTTTATTATTCCTAACATATATAAAAGGCTTAGAACAGCCATGGTGGTAATACATCACTTAATAAAGCAGCTATAGATGATATATGGCTAGAAAATCCATGATTGGAGAAAAAATATATGTATATTTAAATGTACGGAAAGGAACTGTTCAAAAGCTTTTCACTTTGGACCACCTGTGGGTATGCAGAAGAGAAAAGAGTACAAAGGGCTCCTAACAATCACTATACACTAACTGTCCAGGCAACTTACTTTTTTTGTAAATTCATTATCAGATTAAAAAGAAATAATGAGTCATGCTTTAAACACAATAATATTAGAGACTGGAGATGTTATAGTATTTTTCATCCAGAGATAAGAATTCAAAGAATTATTACCTTCTTGTTGTATAGAAGTGTCTTGAAATGTCTAAAGAAATACCAGTTGTCATTTTCTCCACATCCACATTGCTCTGCATATCTTAATTCCGCATCAAAACCAAAACTGTGAAATTTCTGTCCTTCAAACAGCACAGCTGTCGTTGTCTTTTGTGTTACCCATGATTCTGACGCAAAAGAACTACACCTTATGTTGAGGGGATTAGTCTGGTACATATGTTTGAAGGAGAATGCGTAACCACTGTATGTTGTTCCAAAATCAATACCAGCAACTACTACTAATGCACCTTTTCGAGATACTTTTTCTGGGCAAAATGACACATGCTAAAAAAAAACAACCTCAAATTAAAAAAATACTCCCATGATCCACCACTTAGTGTTGTATTCTAGCATTCCCATTATAAAAAATTAAAATATTCTGAATATATTTGCTGATATCATGTCAGTGCATCAAGACAAGAAGAATAAAACACACTTATTTTATGCAGTTAGCAAGGTACGAAAAGGTCTTACTGCTATAAAATTTCTTGCAAGCTTCATAAACAATATATATTTGAATTTTTGCATATATATGTCATAATATATAATTAATTAGTTTCAATATTATCCATTCTACTATAACTATAAAAACTTATTGAGTGTTTTTAATGTTCAAAGTTAAATTCAGAAAATATCTGCTGATGGAACTTTAAATGTCCAACAAACCTAAAGGGGCATGCCCTTTCAAAAGCAAAATATATAATCTATATTCAAGTCACTTTTGACTAGCTTCATTATAATTTAAGATTTTTCTACAAAGATAACATAATTTTTAGTTTTCGTTTGTTACATACTAAATTTTGTACAAAAAGAACTGTTATACTTTCCTTCATACAAACGATTGGCCACATTCTCAGTAATGCAATTTCAACAAACATTGAATTAAACAGCCAATTATCTTTATAATGATTACTTCCATTTAGTCAAGATTATGACTGTAATGACTTAATTATAAGAAAACGGTTATGTGTCAAAAAGGATTCGTTAGGCAATCACCATTTATCCTGTATGTTAATCTGATTTTTTAACCATGTTGATGCATTTTCTTCATATCTTGCCACTCATGGAGTACAAGTAACAGACCTTTCTGAATGACTAACCAATTACTACCAATATCTCCACAAGTGACCGACTACAATCGCACATGTTTAAGAGAAGATTTGTACCAGCAATTCAAATCTCATTTTATTAAATATGCTAATAATCAGATCGTATGTGTTTATTCCCCTAAACAAACTAAAAGATTCTTATCTTTCAGAGAAAATGTTACATAATAGAAAACAAAATTTTGAACATCAGTCAAAAATGTTCAATTACCATATGTCGTCAGGCTGTAATAAATGATAAATTTTCATTTTAGAAATGTTAAAATACTTGCCTGTATTTTGTCTGATCTAGTTTCTGTAATTTGCAAGGACGAGTCATCGTAGGTTTGTATTTTATTCCCTATTTCTTTATTTTTTTCCTGCAGTTGATTTGATAAACTCCTGAAATCTACAAAAATATAAATGTTTGATATCAGAAGTTGCTTCAAAATATATAAAACTGCATTGTTAAAAACATGCTAGAGCAGACTTTTCTTTGACTTGCATCACACAGCACATGCAACTGTTTTGGCTCTATAACTTATATATCAGTTATTCATTGGAGTTACACCCAACACAATTCTAACAAGAGCACCACGTGGGGTGTTAACGCTGTGCTGGTAAGAGATGCAACAAGCAATTATGATAATGTTTATCAATATTTAAGCTAAAAAGGCACAACTCTTGAATAATGCGTTGAAAGGACTTTTTCAGGGGTTTCCATAAGATTATAGACAGAATAAAAACTATTCAAAGAATTTCTCTAAACTTTGCCTGTGGTTAGAATAGAATGATATAAATATTTCAAGCGAAAACAATTTCGAAATCTCTGATCTCATGTTTGAGTTATCTGCCTTACATATCATTTCAATTGCAGGTAACGTATACACACATAAACACAATTTTGTTTTTACCCCTGGATTATGTTTTTCTTTTGATTGTTGATTTCAATACATACTAGCATGTAATTCCATAACTTATTTTTATGAGTAATTCTATTTTTCAGGTTTGATCAAGGGACCAAAAAATCTTAAATCAGTAGTCTGCAAGTTGGATTTGTCACCTTGTCAACAGTATAGCCGACAGTTAGGCATCTTCTTCTTCGATATAGGTAACTTAAAAACACTGCTCTTGTACCTTTAACTTTAGTAATTTGAACTGTAACAAAGTTACTTCAGGATTAATAAAACCTTTTGTTATTATCAGAAGAAATAAGGGGATATAATAATAATAATATTAATAATAATAACTAGAACTATCGCTGAATGCGATCCATACCCCCACCAATGTCCTTGACAGAAGACGACTTTTCCCAATATTAAACTTTTTATAAGTCAATTTTTGACCTTAAAGTGTGGCCTTGACTTTCAGCTGGCACAAGGGTAAGATGGATTCTGCACATTGCCCAGTTGGGGTGAACAGTTGAGTAAAGTTTGAAGAAAATCCTTCCATTAGTAAAGAATTTATAAAGCGGACACAACATATTGTCTAGTATTAATTGTATGTAAATTTAAAGACTTTAAAAGGGGCTTAACTTTGTCAAAATGCAATACAGAGTTATTGAAACTTGACCTGCATATTGTAATTGTGACACCACATATATCTTTTAAGTTTCAAGCAAATACCTGTGCTAGTTTCAGAAATATTCAAGTACGTGTTAAAATTTAAGAACATTTTCTAAGTCAATTTTTGACCTTCAAGTGTGACCTTGACCTTAAGCCTGCACAAAGCTGACATGGATTCTGCACATAACCTTGTTGAGGTGAACATTTGAGTAAAGTTTGAAGAAAATTCTTCGTTTAGTGTAGGATTTATAGAGCAGAAACAACATATTGCCTAATATTTGATTGTATGTAAATTTGAAGACTCAAAAAAGGGGCTTAACTTTGTTAAAATGCAATACAGAGTTATGAAACTTGACCAGCATATCTTCATTGTGACCTTTCATATATATTTTAAGTTTCAAGCAAATTCCTTTTCTAGATTCAGAAATATTCATATAAATGTTAAAATTTAAGAATATTTTCTAAGTCAATTTTTGACCTTCAAGTGTGACCTTGACCTTAAGCCGGCAAAAGGGTGACATGGGTTCTGCACATTTCCTTGTTGAGGTGAACATTTGAGCCAAGATTGAAGAAAATCTTTCAATTAGTGTAGGACTTACAGAGCGGACATGACATATTGTGTAATATTTGATTGTTTGATATTTGACCTTCAATTGTGACCTTGACCTTGAGCTGACACATTGGCAACATAGGTTCTGTACATTCCCTTGTTAAGGTGAACATTTTAGCCAAGTTTGAAGAAAATCCTTCAATTATTGTAGGACTTACAGAGCGGACACGACATACTGTCTTATATTTGATTGTGTTTGATATTTGACCTTCAATTGTGACCTTGACCTTGAGCTGACACATGGGCAACATGGGTTCTGCACATCCTCTTGTTGAGGTGAACATTTGAGCAAAGTTTGAAGAAAATCCTTCAATTGGTATAGGAGTTATAGAGCGGACACGAAAATGGAGACGGACCGACGGACGGACGGACGGATCGACTCGACAAAGCGAATCCATTATAGCCCCCCCCCCCACATTTTGTGGTGGGGGTATAATATTAACAATAATTAACATTCATTTCAGAGTACCAGTTCTCTGATCTATCATTTTTCAAGTTACTAGTCCACAGCTTTTATAATATAAAAGAAATGACTTGGACAGAAATAAAGTATGCAAATTAACAAAAACAATTACTCAAAAAATAAATGCAGAGTAACGATTCTTGTGCACTGCACTTCAGGCCAAATGAAAAAAGCTTGCATACCAAAGTCGAATTCAATCAAGCTTTTAGTGTCCAAGTTATGCTCTGGACAAGCCTAGTAAGTAAAACATTAACAAAAATCATGAAGTACCGGTTTGTGTGCACTTTACTTCTCTCTAAATATGTTTTATCATCCTATGAAGTTTCAAGTCCGTAGCTTTAGCTTTTATAGTTTAGGAGAAATGACATGTACAAAAACAATATTTTGCACTACATCTTGGTTCATTTAAAGAAAAATGCATACCAAGTTTTGAGTCAATCCATTTAACTTATAGTGACTTAGATATGCTCCGGGAAAGCCTAGGGGACAATTAAAAAAGGCAATAAATACAATTGTGATGTATAAAGACCCGTTTTTTTTGCCATATTTTTTCTCAATAAAACTATATTATGGATTTAAAGTGTTTTTTGTTTAGGGAAAGGGGGTAAAAAAATTTTGAAAAATGCAAAGGGAAAATAAAAAGTAAAAGGGAAAATAAGATTTTTTTACTGCGCTTTGGGTCATTAAAAGAAACATGCATTTCAAATTTGGAGTCAGCCAAACTTAAAGTGACTGAGAAATGCTCCAGAAAAGCATAAGGGGAAGCTGCGTCGGCAATGACAAAAGTAACCTCTATATGCACAACTAGGGATGGTACTGATCATTGAACTGCGAAGTTTCATTGTTCAGGTTCTTGAACGATCCTTGAAGATCATTCAGCACGACATTGTTGTCGTGTATACATGTAATGTGCACTTTTTGTTATTTCTATTTGGCCTTTTTTCAACTTGGGTGGTTCCAGTATTCCTACTTGAATACTGTACAATCACCCTTAGGATATGTTGCCTGCTTTTTAAATTTGTCTTTCGACGTCTTATCTGTGATATGCAGGCTTCATTGATACCCAGGGTCCGCCTGGGCTCCTTGCCATTGGTTCTTGTTGCTGGGTCATATGGGGGTTGCGTTCATTGAACGCCGCCTTTCCTTGTTGATCTTGTTTATGCCCGCGTCACACTGTCCCGAAATTGGAACCAGATGGACACACGAATAAAGAAATGTTCAAATTCGGATCTGATCGTAATAACATCGGGTCATTCGTAAGGGCATCTTTTGTAATCGTATAACCCCCGGCTAAATTTTTCAGGCTCCGGCAGCAACTTCGTGAGCGTTCCTAAATTTTTTGGCATGCCAAAAAATTGCCGGAGGACATTGCGAAGGTTCATTTTCGTGTTCAGTTCGTATGCCAATTTTGCGCTTCGTAAGGCCTTCGTGAAGCCATCTTGTCGAATCGTATAGTATTCGTCTTTACTTCGTGTAATCATCGGTGCCATCTTGCAATTTTCGCCTCAAGAAGACAATACGAAGGAAATACGAAGATGCCCGAATGTTTTAGGAAGGCAACACGACTACGTGAAGCCCCCGCAATACCGTCATGTCGCCATCGTACTTTGGTACGATGCCATCGAGATGGGACCACGATGTGGGCGGAAGAAGCAAATTTGAGTGGCTCAATCAAATGTATCATGGTGGACGTATAAAAGACTTGCCTCAAACCATCTTCCTCATCAGTCAGTCCTGCACAACTCTATAGACAATACAAAAAAAGTTCCATTATTTGCAGTAATTAACAATAATTTTCACAATGGCATATTTTGACCAAAAAAATAAAACAAGAAAAAGAAGGCAGCAGCATTGCTACTATTAATAAACCTATATGGAACCATGATAAGCAGCTGTTACAGGTCCAACACCGCCTCTTACAGGTAAAACAATACTGAATTATTTAGTTTTGTCATTTCCTGCTATTTGCCTTTCCAGCATTCGACAATGTACTTATGTTATTTTGTTTTTATGTTTTAGAGCAGGGGTAAACCAAGGCGAAGGAAGAAACCGAGATCTGTGTGGGTCAGGAAATGGCTATCTGAGAAAAGAAGAGAAAAGTATGGCCACTACAGCGTTCTACTAAAGGAGTTGAAGATAGAAGATGAGAATTCCTTCTTTAACTATACAAGACTTCCCAGAGGTCTATACGATGAGGTCCTGAAAGTATCTTCCTCTTAGTCTCAAGCTGTCTATCACTCTACGACACCTGGCCTGTGGTGACAGCTATAAAAGCCTGTCCTACAACTTCAGAGTAGCTCCAAACACCATCTCCCTTATAATAAATGAAGTTTGCGATGCCATCAAAGCCGAGTTTGCTGCTGAGGTGATACAGTGTCCTACTACAAAGGAAGAGTGGACTGCCATTGCTGAGCAGTTTGAAAAGAGATGACAATTTCCACACTGCTGTGGTGCTCTGGATGGCAAGCATGTGGCGGTTACATGTCCTTGGAATACTGGTTCTATGTACAGACACTACAAGGGCTTCTTACTCTTCGTACTCACAATACGACGTCGTGTTCCCATCGCGTTGCCTTCGTGTGTCCTGCGTGTTAACTATTTGTTAAAAAAATTGCATCTTTTAGGTGACTTCGTGTGCGAATCGGATGCAATCGCGTAACCTTCGTGTTGGGCTTTCTTTAGGGATTCTGTATTTATCTATTTTATGATCACATCCGTGTTATTTGTGCCGTGTGGCGGCTGTAAAAAGTCTCCCCGTACATTTAATCAAT